CTACTTTATTGTTATTTTTTATTTATTATACTTTAAATTCTGGGGTACATTGCAGATAGTGCAGGTTTGTTACATAGGTATACACGTGCCATGGTGGTGGTTTGCTGCATCCATCGCGCTGTCATCTACATTAGGTGTTTCTCCTGATGCTATCCCTCCCCAACTCCCCACCCCCTGCTATTCCTCCCCTAGTCACCCATCCCGCAGGACCTGGTGTGTGATATTCCCCTCCCTGTGTCTGTGTGTTCTTGTTAGAACAGTTTTCTTTTTAAAAAATCTGAATTTCCCCTTTTTTTCAGCTTCATTGAACTACAATTGACAAATAAAAATTATATATTTAAAATATACAATGTAATGTTTTGATATATGGGTACATTGTGACATGATCACAAGCTCATTAACATATCTATCTTGTCACCTAGTTACAGTGCTGTAGCAGTTCTCAATTTCATTCACTTATAAACATTTTACAATTGCACATGTCCAAAAATACTCTTAAACTAAAAAATAAATGTATTCAGCATCTCACTTCCAGAGGTAGATTGTAACCATTAAATGAATACCATTCTAAACTATTTCTTGATAGAGAGCTATATACATAAATGCATTTTTACCATGGTGGCTCACACCTGTAATCCCAGTACTTTGGAAGGACAAGGAAGGCAGATCACCTGGCGTCAGGAGTTTGAGACCAGCCAGGCCAACATGGTGAAATCCCATCTCTACTAAAAATACAAAAATTAGCTGGGCATGGTGGTGGGCACCTATAGTCTCAGCTACTCTGGGGGCTGAGGCAGCAAAATCGCTTGAACCTGGGAGGCAGATGTTGCAGTGAGCTGAGTTCATGCCATTGCACTCCAGCCTGGGTGACAAGAGTGAAAATATAAATAAATAAATAAAATAAAAATTGCTAATGCTATATATGCTGTTTTGTAACCTGCTGGTTCACTTTTTTTCTTCATTTCAGCCTGTTTCCAAAACTTATTTCACTTAATGGAGTATAGTGGACATCATTTCACCTCAATAATGCCAACCTTATGGTCTTTTAATTAGGTACTTAATAATTCTTAATTTCATTATTTCCCAAAACTCTTCAACTGCACAAGAAAAACAACCCAGAAGATAAAAAAGGAAAAAAAAATACATAATTTCACTCCTGGGAAAAGTAGCAGAACAATTTGCATCTATTTCTAGACTTTAAATGCTCTTGTATTCATGAAACATGGCTGTTCCTTTATTTTTATTTATTGTTTATTAATTTTTTAATAAATTAAAAAATTTATTTTAGTTTTTTAAAATTTCTCACTCTGTTACCCAGGCTAGAGGGCAGTGGTGCAATCATAGCTCACCACAGCCTCAAACTTCTGGGCTCAATCAACCCTCCTGCCTCAGCCTCCTGAGTAGCTGGGACTACAGGTGTGTGCTACCATACCCAGCTGATTTAAAAAAATTTTTTAGAAATGGGGTATCACTATATGGCCCAGGCTGGTCTCAAACTTCTGTCCTCCAGCAATCCTTTTGCCTTGGTCTCCCAAAGTATTAGAGTTACTGGGGTGACCCACCACACCCAGCTGAAATATGAGTATTTACAAAATAAAAAACTACATAGTACTGTGACATGCCTTTCCACTGTAGTTTGTGAATGGACAGCTTTCATCTTACCAAGCATCCATTTAATAGCCGCATTGGTGTTCCATCCAGGAAGAGGGTCATCTTTATTACCAGCCCCTTTTTTATGGGCATTTAGGCTATTCTTCACTTAAATTACATTTAGTGGCATGGTGAATTCCCCTGTACCCACACCTGAGACACTAGTCTATTTCTTTAGGATACATTTTTAGAGTAGAATATCTGAGCTCAAAAGTTGCACCTTGTTACAGGTTTTTTGATACCTGTGCCAAATTACCTTCTAGAAAGATCACTTAGCTCCCCCAATCCCTGGGCAGTCTATGGCCTGTTCTCCATGTGTTCTGAATGGCTTCTCTCTGGATTTGTTTAAAGCAAAGACCACTCTGGGGAGACGGAGGTTCCACTGGATCTGCTGGCTGACTCCAGGAAGGAGGAGGAATATCGTGGGAACATCTGGAAGGGCTTCCTCATCTCCATCCCCTACTCAGCCAGCATTGGGGGCACAGCCACACTCACGGGCACGGCCCCTAACCTCATCCTGCTTGGACAGCTCAAGAGGTGAAAGCAAGAGTCCCCACTGGTAGGGAGGGTTCTGCTCCTCCCTTCCTTGTCCCTCGTTCATTCACCATCCAGAGAATGTATATTGAGGGCTTTCTCTGGGCCAGGCTCTGGATACACAGCAATACACAAAACCCAGTGAGATCCCTGCCCTTGGGGAACTTCCATTCTGGTGGGAGAGTCAGACAATAAGTGAAAAAGCAAATGAATATGTAATATATCTGTGTGATAAGTTAGGGAAAACATATAGTTGGGCAAGAGGGTAGAAGTGAGGACAGAGGGGTGCTAGTTTACGTAGGTTGGTCCGGGACGCTGGTTCTTTCTGATGGGTTGACATTTGAGCAGATGCCTAGAAGGGAATGAGCCACGTGGACACAGGAGGGAAAGGCATTGCTGACAGCGGGGAGTAGTTCCTACAAAGCTGGGAGATGGGGCTGTTCCTGGGGAGGTTTAGGGACCTGCAAGAATACCAGGGAGATGAAGAACCTAGGGCGAAGGGAAGGTAAGAAGATATAAGGTTATAGGGCAAGTGATTTCTAAGGACACAGCTTTTCCTCCAAGTCACTGGGGGTCATTGGAAAGGTGAGAGCAGCGTGACCCATCCAGAGGCATGGGTCTGTGGCTGTTCATGGCCTGGGAGAAGCCTTCCAGCCATAAGCAGGGTCCCCCAGTGAAGTGGGCTCTGCTGGGAGCTAAAGTGTCCCCATCCCTGGAAGTGGTCAGCAGTGACTGGGTGGCCGGCAGTCAGGGCATGAGAATAAGAAGGGTGCTCCAGCTGCACAACTTGCTGCTCCCATTATTTCAAGCCTCTGGTTTCCAAGACTTTAAAAATTCAGTATTTTAAGATCCTGTCTCTAAGACTTTTAGGTTCCAGGATTCTGAGTCAGGGTTTCTAAGATTCCTTGCAGTGGAGATGTCGCATAGGTTCATTTAATTTACATAAATGCAAATGTAAGCATTTGGCAAACAAAGGACAGCAAAAGTTTTTGATATTCAACAAGGCTCCAAATACTAGCCAACTTCTTTACCTGTTGCCCAACCAAAGAATCAAAAACCTGTGGGGATGAAGGGAGGCCCTGCTGATCTCCCCAAGAGAGGTTTGCTATGCGTACAACACTCAGTAACATACATGTGAGTAATTAAAGGTATTTTCACAAGAGATATTAGCACACCCATGTTTGGCCTCATATGCTGATTTTAAAACCTTAATCCCTGGGTAAGATGAATTGCCATTGCATTCCCAGATTCCAAAATACTTTGATTTTAAGGTTTGATAATGGGAACCAGTGATTCTTAGCCATGCACTGGGAAAAGTGAAAAAAAAAAAGTATACGCCAAATACAAAATTGGCATGTTGAGATTAACAAATTACAGAAAAACACTTTTAAATATCTTTAAGTTGTTAGAACTGATGAAAAAAAAAAAAAAAAAAAAAAAAAAAAGTCGTAGGTGTATTTCACCAATTGATTTAAGCCCACTGAGTTTTACTGCAAACCTCAGATGTCTTTTTATCTCTATCCTTTAAACAAGGCCTGGCTGTGCCTGTGGTTTTAGCTTGGTGACAGAAAAGCCAGAAGCAAAGAGGGTCCTGTTTCAGGTGTGGGAGAATCTAGGCTCAGCCCTTTAGTGTTCTGCTGAGGGGAAAGGTAGACATTTGGCATTAGGGTTTGCCAGGGCTCATCCCTGGGGCTGCACAGGAAGATGTGGGCTCTGGGGATGGGGGGCAGGGCCTGGGTTGGGGATGGAGCGAATTGGAGGGGAGAAGTTGTTGTCAAAGCATTTTCAGGCTGCCTGCCTGCCCTGAGGTAAGGCTTTGTTCAAACCTGAAATGAAATTGGGGAAATTATATGTTTTTTTTTATGTAACTTTCATATTTATATTTTATAAAATATATCTTACGTATATTTAGTATATATTATATTAACATATAATACATAAAATATATATTAACATATATACACAGTAAAAATGTCAAAGGTAAGATTTCAGGTAAATTACATGCAAATTGTATGCAACACAATGACTTGAATGTAGACTCTCCGGTGTAGGGAGAGGGGATTTAAAAGGAATGCTAGAGAATCAAAATGTGATTTTGATTCTCCAGCTGAGAATAGGAGAAGCCTGGGGAGACAGGAGAAGTGGCTGCCCTGAGTGGTCCTTTGGCCCTTGTTGCCAAAATACATTTTATTGGTTTATTCTGATTATAAAATGATAGAGGCACATTACAGAACATTTGGAAAATGTAGAAAAAGAAGTTTGAAATACCTTCAATCCCACTGTAAGATTTTGACAGACTTTCTTCTAGACTTTTCTATATCCATATATTAAATGTGTATATTTTTCATGTTTTTGTCACTATACTCAGTACAGTTTTATTGTCTGATTTTATTAAACTTTTTTTAGAAAACCTAATTTTTAGTGACTATATGTTATCTTAATTTGGGTGTCATACTTTAATCCTAGGCATTTAGATTGTTTTCATTTTATAATGATTATTATTTCACTATTACGAATTACGCAACTGACCATACGCTTGCTGATATTTTAATATTTTTTAAACAATATTTTTATTTTGTGTAATTATAGAGGTGTGCTCATTCACTGTAGAAAATACAGGAAGCGAAAAAGGAGGAAATAAAAAAAGCTCTTAGAATCCCACTGTATAGAATTTATTAATTCTTTTTTTGTTTATTTATTATGTAATAATAAATAAATAAATAATAAACAAATCAAAACTGTTAATGTTTTGATTTGTTTACTTATTTACCTAGAAATGTCTGTAAGTGTCCATATACTTTTGTATACATCATTCTGTAACTTATTTTTCCACTTTTCAATCTAGCATTTATATTCCTGACCACATTCTGGTTGTTTGTTTTAAAGTTTATTTCAAGTAGTAGAATTTCTGGGTAAAAGGGTATGCACATTTTTAAGACTCTTACTGCATTTTACCAAACTCTTCTCCAGAAAAGAGTATCCCGATGAACAAACATCAAGAATCTGCCTGTTTTCCCACATCTTCACCAGCATTGAGTGTTATTGTCCTTCATCCTTTCAGGCTTGATGATGTCTTAATAGAACTGAGATTGGACACCATTCAGCAGAGAAAGAACTCATTGACATCACCATTGCCTGGACAAAACGTCCAGGGTCTTTGAGCGTACATAATAAGGAGGGCAAAGGTTTCCGTCTGCAGATGTGTTATGTTTGACTCCCACATTCATCAAAAACATTTTCATGAATTTCCAACGTTTAAACATCACATAATTTTAAGTAAAACCCAAATCTGGGCTTACTGCCCTGCACTCTTGCATGGCAACCATGGGGGAGCAAACAGCACCTGACCCCTTTACTGCACACAGCTCTCTTCAATTCTCCACGGCCTGATCCGGCCTGTTTCATTCACTCAGGCACCTATCTGGCCCCCAGGGGGCAGAGATTTTGACTGTAGTGCACCCACTGGTCCCACTAGGTCATAAGCCAGCAGCCCCTAAAGAAGAGGAAAAAAGGGGGCTTCTATTAGAAGAGGTGGAAAACACTATTCCCAAGACTCCCATGGGACCCTTTCATTCCCCTCTTGACTCACGACTGCTAGTATGGCCTGGTCCCCTCTCCCACTCCCCAAATAGGCATGGCTGCCCTTGGCCTGTTCTCATCTCCCGCTGTTCTCCAGTTTCTTTCCGCAGTGTGACGTGGTGAATTTTGGCTCCTGGTTCATTTTCGCCTTCCCTCTCATGCTGTTGTTCCTGTTGGCAGGCTGGCTCTGGATCTCCTTCCTGTACGGGGGACTGAGCTTCAGGTACCTCTCATTTTCTTCTTGGCAGATAGAGTGGAGAACCAGGGAGTGGCCTTTCTAGTCTCAGTATCTGCTTATGAAAGCTAAGGATGATCGTTATTTCATGTCATATTCTCATTTCTTTATTTTATGTATGTATGTATTTATTTATTTTTACAGACAGGGTCTTGCTCTGTCACCTAGGCTGGAGTGCAGTGGCGTGATCGTAGCTAGTTGCAGCCTCAATATCCCAGGTTCAAGTGTTCCTCTGGCCTCAGCCTCCCGAGTAGTTGGGACTATAGGCGAGTGCCACTGTGCCTGGCTAATTAAAAAAAAATTTTTTTTGTAGAGACAATGTCTCACTCTGTTGCTCAGGCTGGTCTCAAATTTCTGGCCTCAAGTGATTCTTCATGTTTTATCCTCTCAAAGCTCTCAGATTATAGGTGTGAGCCACCGGGCTGGCCATATTCTCATTTCTTGACCTCCCAGGGATTAAGTGAGAAGTGTGACCTGCCTGCCACACTCAGGCCCTCTGTTGATGTCACATATTATTAATAATTATTAATAGTATTGCCTTTAAATAAGGGTAAACACTCTTGACCAGAGAAGAGGGGAGTGCACTATTTCCCATTGTATGGGGCTCTGGCATGGAAGATAATTTGGGATGGCATGAGGACAAGATATTAAATAACACCAAACCATATTATGGGAAATATGCGTTTATCAACTCTCATCACTCTGCCTGCTTACGCTGAGGAGAAAGTCTCAGTGGGATGCTAAAGAAACCTTAATATCTGACATTTCCAAATCAACCTCTTAACAAAGAAAGAGCAAGCTTCAAACCCAGAGACTTGAGCCAGAAATGATGTCTAGCCAAAATGCAATACTGGCACTTTGTTTTCCTGTGTTTATTTTGGTTACTTCAGTTACTTTTTAATATGGCTACGTTAATTTGGATAGGCCACACATACACAGGGCTCTCAAAAATAAAAACAACAGGAAGAGGCATGCAGTGAGAACCCCTCTTCCCAGCCATGCCTACATGAGCCTCTTCACCCAGGGTATTTGCCCAAAAAACGATGCACTTTTATTGGTTTCTTGTGCAACCTTCCAGAGTTTTCTTAAGCAAATATGAACAGACACAAATATCTTTTTCTGGTGACTAGCCTCCCTGACATATTTTGGGTTTGTTTTGTTTATTTATTGAAACAGAGTCTCATTCTGTCACCCAGGCTGAAGTGCGGTGGTACCGTCTTGGCTGACTGCAACCTCCACCTCCCAGATTCAGGCGATTCTCCTGCCTCAGTCTCCAGAGTAGCTAGGACTACAAGCTCTTGCCACCAAAGCCAGCTAATTTTTTTGTGCTTTTTTGTTAGAGATGGGGTTTTACTGTGTTGGCCAGGCTGGTCTCAAACTCCTGATCTTAAGTGATCCACCCATCTTGACCTCCCAAAGTGCTGAGATTACAGGCATGAGCCACTGTGCCCAGCTGCTTTTTTATTCTATATTTTTATTTATTTTTTTCTCTTTTACCCTGCAGCTATAGATCAAAGAAGCAGATATTTTTTATAAGATACATTTCTAGAAGTGGTATTTCTGGGTCTGAGAATAAAGACATTTTTGTTTTAATAGATATTGTCAAACAATTCTTCATAAAAATTTTACATGTTTACTCTCCCATGCACAATGTATGAGCATGTCTGCTTCTTTGCAGCAAAGTGGATTTTTGCCAATCTGATAAGAAAAAGATAACTTGTGTTTATTTTACGAAGAGTAATCTTGGGCAACTTTTCATGTGTTTGGAAGCATATGAAAAGTTTGTTCACTGATATTTTCTTTCCTGCAAATTGTGAAACTGTGTGTTCATATTTTTATGCATTTTTGAAATGGGTTATTGGTCTTGTTTTTACTAGTTTCTGGTAGTCTTTATATTTTAGAAAGATGAGTGCTTATTCTGCAATAGAAACTACATTTTTTCCCCTGATTTGTCTTTTGACTTTGCTTATGGTGGTTTTCTCCATGCAGAATTGTTTAAAATTTTTTTTCTATCTTTTCTCACATGGCTTCTGAAATTTCAATTACAGCTTAGAAAGGTTTTCCTAATACAGGACTTATAAAAGAATAATCCCATGTTTTCTTCTAGTGTTATATATTTTTACATTTAAACCTCTGATCTATTTGAAGTTCATCCTTATGGCACAGTGTGAAGTTTGGATTCAGCTTCAGTGTGAAATTTGGATTGAGCTTCATTTTTTTTTTGTCTCAGATGGTCACCCAGTGTCCTAACACCATTTATGGACACACAACATTTTACAATTTTGATGAAGTCAAATTTATCTATCTTTGGTGGCTTGTGTTTTTGGCATCATATCGAAGAAACTGTTGCCTATTCCAAGGGCATGAAAGTTTTATGGTTTTAGCGGTAACATTTAGGTCTTCCATCCATTTTGAGTTAAATTTTGTATATGGTGTGAGGTAGGGGTCCAGATTCATTCTTTTCCACATGGGTATCCAGTTGTTGTAGCACCATTTGTTGAAAGGCTATTCCTTCCTCCACTATTCAATCTTGGTGCCCCTGTCAAAAATCAATTGGGCACAGATGAATGGGTTCACTTCTGGGCTCTCAATTCTGTTCCATTGATCTATACATCTGACACCATTTACTGAATAGCCCATATTTTCTACACCAGCCTGAGATAGCAACTTTATCACAGACTAAATTCCCATTTGTGATGAGTCTGTGTCTAGATTTTCTATTTTGTTCCATTGATTCCTCTGTTTATTCATGTGTCTGTTTGACCCACTTACAGATTTTAAGCCTGGGAGTCATATGATCAGATTCACATTTTTAAAGATCAGCCAGGCTATACGTGAGGAGAACAACTGTAGCAAAGGAAGACAGAGGCAGGGAGACCAGCCATCAGGCAGGCCTCGAACAGAGAGGATGTGGCTTTGTCAGGTGGTAGTGGTGGTTGTAGGTGAGAATTTAGTCCTACCTGCAGTGGCCTAACCTCCCACTTTCTGTTTCAGGGGCTGGAGGAAGAAGAAATCTGAGATAAGAGCCAATGCAGAAGATAGGGCTCGAGCTGTGATTCGGGAAGAATACCAGAACCTGGGGCCTATCAGGTATGTGGGGGTCCTTGGGTTGAAGAAAGTGCTAAGTATTAAATGCTCAGGAGAGCTTCCTCCTGACCTGGGCTTGGGCCCATGGAGGCTAAGCTCCAGGGGAATTTCAGGACCCATGGCCTGGGAGCCTAGAGATGGAGGATGGGAGGTGGTTTACAGAGTCATCCTCTTGGCCTGGTGCTGGGGTAGAAACCTGAGGACCAAAAAGCCCCTCAAGAGGCATCTGCTACCTTCCACCCAAGGCACCGTTGCCCTCCGAATACACAAAATGTTTGTCACTATCTCAGGTGCCTTCCAGGACCTTGTTTAATACATGTTTCCCACATGGTGAAAATAATGGCTTCGGTAGGGCTGTGTTCACAGACCAGCTGTGCCATGCATGTCCTGTGTGGCCTTGGTCCCAGCACTAACCCTCTCTGGGCCCTGCTCTCCAGTCTGTGAAATGGGTACATTCAGTAACTATCTCTTCCAACGCTTGGGGATCCTCTCTTTCCACCTCCATCCACCCTCCTTCCAGGTCTGTACCCTCTCTGTGTCTTCTCTCAATGTAGACAGACTGTGTGGTTTTCCGTCTCTCTCTCTCTCTTTTCCTCTTTCTCTTTGCCTACTGCATTTCTGTCTGTTTCTCTTTCTCTCTGCTTTTCTGACTGTTTCTTACTTTCTTGATTTTCCATAGGACCCTGGGAAACTCCTGGCAATAATGATGCACGCGGTTTTGGGGAGTGAGTGGCTTGAGGCTCAGGAAGGATCCTGAGGGAGCGTGGAAGTCCTGAGACAGAGATTACTTACATCCCATTGGCATCCCTTCCCTTGCTCCGGGCACTCTCTGGGGAGTGGATGACTCCAGCTTTCCCAGAGGCAGAGCCCAGGCCCAGTCACTCCCAGTGGGCAGCTGCCTGAGCCTGTGTCTGCTGTGGTCTGCCTGAAACCCCGGGTCACCATTGTGCCTGCATGTCTGTGCCACAGGTTTGCTGAACGGGCCGTTTTTGTCCTTTTCTGCATGTTTGCCATCCTCCTCTTCTCCCGGGACCCGAAGTTCATCCCTGGCTGGGCCAACTTCTTCACTCCCGGGTGAGGCTCTGGGGACCCCCAGGGTGGAGTCCAACAGGGAGGATTCTGGGCTGGGCCACCTGGAGCTGGAGAGGTGGCAGTGCAGCTAGGGAGACCCATGTCCAAGTTTCTATCTCTTGTCCCATGTGATTACTAATTAACTCTTATAATAATCTTATGATTATTATTAACTCTTTCACTCTCAAAAGAATTTAGGTTGTTTAGGTTTGGGTGATAATACATGATTTCTTGTGTGTTGGAATCTCTAATGTGGAGTCAGACAAAACTGGGTTAGAATTCTAGCTCTACCACTTACAAGCTGTGTGACTGAGCAAATTGTTCATTCATTCAATCAACATTGATTGAGAAACTATTATGTGCTAAGCTGGATGCTGGGTACTGGGACACAGACAAAAGCAAGTAGTTAGACAACAAATAACAGCACTACAATGAGTGCTATGAAGGAAAGAGTGAGAGGGTTATGCTATAAAATAATGGAGCGGGGGCATTGACTTTGGACAGTTCTGGGAAGAGCCAAAGCTTAGGAAGACAGCAGGTGAAAGCAGCGGAGATGCACTGAGAATGTCTACTGAAGCCTGAGCTAGAACAAACTTAGCATGCTTGAGAAACTGAGAAAAACCCAGTGGGACCAAGGTCTGCTGAGAAAAAAGGAAAGGGGGTGAGGAAGGATAGGTGAGGGCCAGATCAGAGTGTCTTTTTGGGCATGTTAAGCATTTTGATTTTTTTTTTTCCTGTGAGCAGTGAGCAGCCAGTGGAGGGTTTTAAGCTACTTAATCTCTCTGTGCCTCAGTTTCCTAATCTGTAAATGATAGTATCATAGTACATTTCTCATTGGCTTGTTGTAAAGATAAATGAGTTAATACATGTCAAGTGATTAGAACGGCTTATAGAAAGAACTCAACAATTGTTAGCGATTTTCATTAGGAAATGGGTAGTGGGGGCAAAAATATAGATGAGGAGAACAGTTAGGACCTATAACCTCATCTAGTGGCCCCTGTCTTTTGGAACGGGGTGAGCAAACTATAGCTCAGGGGCCAAATCTGGCCCGCCACTTGATTTTGAATGGGTTTTACATTTTTTTAATGGCTGCGGAAAAATCAAAAGACAAATAACACCTTGTGATGCACAAAAATCATATGAAATTCAAATTTCAGTGTCTACAAATAAAGTTTTATTGACACACAGCCACACCTATTCAATTACTTATTGTCTATGGCTGCTTTCTTGCTCCAATGTCAAATGTGAGTCCAGATGAACACCATGTGGCCTACAAAGCCAAAAATACTTATCTTGTGGCTTTTTCAGGAGACATTTGCTGACCCCTGTTCTGGCGGATGGCTTAAGTGAAGGTGGTAGCAATGGCAATGCAGCAGTCAAGATATCTTTCAAATTAAATGTGGGGCTTGCGCTGGGTTGGATTTTGGGGGTATTAATGAAAGGAGTGTGTGCATGAATGGTGGTTAATTGGAGAAGAATATTTTTAGGGGCTGGGAATGGCTTATTCATAATTCTATTTTGGTCTTGGTTTAGGCTTGTCAAGCTCAATAGGCAGCTGGATATGCAGGATTGGAGCTTAGAGGAGATGTTTAGATTGCAGACATAAATCTGGGAGTCATTGTGTAAATTTGGGAGTTAAATCCATAGGAATTAATGGGCTCAGCTATGGAAAGTGTATAAGGAGAGTATAGAAGACCGTGAGGAACCCCAACACTTGGGAGCTGGGGAGAGGAAAATGAATTTACTAGAGAAATAGAGATATGATGAGTGAGGTAGAAGGAACTTAGAGCTATGGACCAGCAGAAGCCAAGAGAGGGGAGTGTTTTAAGAAGAGTGAGTGGGCACTGTGTCAAATTCTGATGTGAGTGGGAACATGATTAAATAGAGATTTATCTGCAGGATTTGGCGAAATCTGATTATTTCAATTAGCCCCATCCAAGAGAGATATACTGTGAGCCATATATATATTTTAAATTTTTTAATAGCTACGTTAAAAAAGTGAAAAGAAACAGTTGACACTAATGTTAATATATATTTTATGTGTAAATTGTTAGTGAGAATTTTGCATTCTTTTTTCATATGAAATCATCAAAATCTTGTGTGTGTTTTACATTTAAAGCACATGTCAGTTTGGTCTTGGCACATTTCAGGCACCCACTAGACCACCTGCGGCTTGTGGCTACCATGCTGGACAGTGCACAATCCACACCTCGCCCTCTGAGCCTCAACCTCTTCCCTGGTAAAATGGATGATATAAATTCAGATTTCCTGAAAGTTGTTATAAGCAAGAAACAATATAATTTCATGAAGCCATGAAGCTCTCATTGCTCTTACCATTTTTTTTTATTTTTCCAAAATATAGGTACTTTATTTTTTCAGATGCAAAATGGGTGTTAAAAGCATCCCAACAATACAGAAAATGTGAAAATCAGCCAAATCTCAGTCTCTAGTTCTGATATACATCTTTCCTGGCTTTTAAAAAAATACCTGTCTGAGAACTGTTATACATTGTGATCACGTTGTTACTGGACTGTACACATTTGTCAAAACTTGTTAAACTATACCCTTAAAATGTGTGCGTTTTATAGCATGTTAATTACACCTCAATGAAATATATGCCAATTGGCTTTTTGAACCTTATTAAAAGAAGATTTTTTTAAACAGAAATATGATCACATCAACATATTATTTGTAATCTGCTTTTTAATTTTGTATTAAATTTCAAAAGTTACGCATACTCATAACAAATTCAAGCAATGCTGAATTGAAAAAGGACAAGTTGGTGGCTCTTTATCCACTTTATGTCCCACTGCCCAGAGATGATTGCAATGAGCAGTTTGGTGTGTGATGTTCCAGATATGCACACATATCTTCATACATACACACATACAAATATGTATACACATAACAAAAGACTGGAAAATGTAATCATATGATCATGGACAACTTGCCATTTTGGACTGACTTCATCCTTTTTTTAAATTTTATTTTCTTGGCCTCAGGTCACAACTTCATCCTTTTAAAACCCTGCAGAGCACTCTACAGAATGGGAGCACTTTGATTCATTTAACCAATTCCTTATTGGATTGTGTTCAATGCTTCAAATAAACACTTTTAAAATAAAGTTTACAGGGTATCTTCATTGTATTTTTATGTCAATACACAGGATTGACATTATCTTTTATCTTTTTTTAAACAGATGCATGTATTTCATAATGTGAATGGAACATAATTTCTTTAAACATGTGTCTATGGAAAATCTTCCATTTTTTTTTCTACTCTTATCAATGATAGACATCCTTGCCCATAATCTGTGTACAAAAGTATAACATTTCACAAGGTTCAATTCCTAGCAGTAGGATAACTGGATCAAAGGGTATTCACATGTAACATCTGAAACATGTTGCCAAATGCCTCAGGAGGTTCAACTGGTTTATTCTTTCACTAACGGCATATGTTCCAACACCCTCACTGGTTTTATTCCCCTTTTCAAGTCTTGCCTGTGGCAGATGAATGGTATACCATTAGCGTTTTGCTCTGTATTTCTCTGATGATGATGATATTGACCATTTCTTCCAACTTGTCAATTTGAATACTCTCCTTTCCAAGTGTGTGACTGGGAAGAGCTTTGGTTAGCAATGAGCTCTAGGCTTCATTGAACTTGGAGCCAGAGCAATCTGAGTTTAAGGCCAGGGTCTACAGAATGGGAGCACTTGGATTTCTTTAATCAACTCCTTATTGGATTGTGTCCAATGCTGCAAATCAAAACTTTAAAAATAAAATTTATAGTCTATCTTGGTTATATCTAGGTGTATGTCAATTTAACAAAATGACTTGCTCAGGGTCCACCCTTGAACAAGTGGTTTCTGCTCTCTGACCCTCTGATTTCCCACCTGGAGTGGAAAGTATCTGCCCTGAAGGCTTAATGTGTACAGAGCTCCTTCTAAAGACACATTATGGATGCTTGAAAGGTGACAGTTAGATTTTGAGGGGCCGTGAGGCTGAGTTAATCTGGGTTCTACTGGTGTGAGTGGGCTGTATCAATGTGGTGAGCTGCCCATCGCAGGAGTGATTCAAGCACAAGCTGAACAAAGATAGGGCTTTTACAGGAGTCCTAGTTAGGGTGATTTATGGGGTTTCCGAAGACTCCAATATTCTGCCGCCCTCAGATTCTCCCCTCTTTCGTTGAGTGCCTCTTCTTAGGGTCCTTGAGTTGGGAGGATAAGCGTTTGCCTGGGCCCAAGCCGCATCTAAATACCCCCAGGGAGCTGCAAATAAAGAGCTTTGCACCATGCAGAGGGCATTGCAGGACAGAATCTAGTGACCCAGTCTCCAACAATGTCCCCTTCACAGCAGGCCTAATTCCCCTCCACAAATCTTCATTTACAAATCTGCCAAACCTCGGCCGCTGAGATGCCTAGGGTCACATGTTTTGGGGCCTTCTCATTGTAGGTTTCTTTCTGATGCTGTCACCGGCGTGGCTATTGTCACCATCTTGTTCTTCTTTCCATCCCAAAGGCCCTCTCTCAAGTGGTGGTTTGACTTCAAAGGTAAGGTGGTCAAGGGTGGGGTCTCGGTGGGCTCAGTGAGGACTGTGGCCTGGAGTGTGGTCATCAAGGGCCTGGAGCCCGCCTCTGCACTAACCACGTGGTCCTTCCTCCTTTCACTGACTGAGCCATGGCCTTGTCTGGGGACTTAGGACTGCCCCAGGTGATAGCTCAGGACAGGGGTTAGCCACTATAGTCTCCAGACCAAATCCAGCCAGCTAACTGTTTTTTGAACAGCCTGGGAGCTAAGCATAGTTTTCAGATTTTTAAATGGTTGGAAAAAAAAAAAAAGAAAGAGAAACATTTCATGACATATGAAAGTTACATGAAATCCAAATTTCAGTGTCTATTCATCAAGTTTTGCTTTCCCCTAAGAAATGTGTGGAAATTAATTTTCTTTAGTTATATAAGTACCTACACAAAAGCCTCAATTTTGCCTCTTGGCCCACAAAGCAAAACAAGGTTTATTTTTCTTGCCCTTTGCAGAAAAATGACCTCTTAGCCCAAAGCAGAAGTCGCACCTTGGTTGCCCAGGGAGCCACTTATGGAAGGTGCAAGCTGGGTTTCAACTGTACAGGAAGTGGTGGGGACTGAGGGAAAACTGCCTAAAGGCATTCAGATTCCATTTTTTAAAAATCACTGAGTCCCTCTACCAAAATGGCCTTCAGATTGCCAGCTTGTGCCTTGCTGTGGTGTCCAGCAGAAGTCTGCCGGAAGGTGACGCCAACACCTGAGGCTGCCACCTGGGGCAGTTGGATGGGCTCCTCCAGAGTCAGGAAATAGGGACTATAATCGAACTGTTTTCTGTTGTTGAGAAAAATAGTAGATGAAATTTCTTGGCTTTATTTATTTATTTAGACAGGGTCTTGCTGTGTTGCCCAGGTTAAAGTGCAGCCGCACAAGCTCGGCTCACTGCAACCTCTGAGGCGATTCTCATGCCTCAGCCTCCCCATTAGATGGGATTATAGGCACCGCCATCATGCCCGGCTAATTTTTGTATTTTTAGTAGAGATGGGATTTCACTATGTTAGCCAGGCTGGTCTCAAACTCCTGACCTCAGGCTATCCGCCCGCCTCGGCCTCCCAAAGTGCTGGGATTATGGGCATGAGCCACTGTGCCTGGCCAGTATATTTATTTGTTTATCACGTGACATCCCCCCTGGAATATAAGTTCTCCAAGGAGATGGATTTTCTCTGTTTTGGCCGCTTCTGATATCCTTAGAACCCAGAAGAGCATTTGACACATGGCAGGTACTCAACATATATTTGTTAAACAAATAGCCAAGGACACGCTCTGGGCAAGACCCTGGGATGAGTCCCTTGCACAGAAGGACCATTTGATCTTTCCAGTAGTCTCCAAGGGAAGTGCTGTTACCATATTTTGCAGAAGAGGAAATCGAAGCTTAGAAAGGTAGGGACACTGGCCCAAATCACACAGTAGGGGCACAGCAGAGCCAGGATTCAAGTCCAGTTCAAAGCCTGTACCTTTAGCCACTGCTCTAGACTGCAAACTGGCATCAGCTTGAGCTGGAGTGGGAAATCCATGTAGTCAGAGGTTGTGCTTATGAGAAATAGCAGTAAAGCCGTGGTTGGATGGGAAAACAGTAAAAACCATGGTAGCTAACATTAACTGAGAGCTCAGCATGTGACAGGCAGTCTGATAAGCATTCAACATTTAATCTGCATTACATGGAACCCTGCTCAAGGCCTTCTTCCTTCCCCTGTCCCATCCACCCTTACTTGCTGTGTGGGGTGAGTCACTTCACTTTTTCAGACTTCTTGGACTTCTTTAATGACATGATATTTTATCACCTGAAGGCAAAGGGCGGGGCCACCTGCCATGTCTGGTTGCCTTGTCCAGTTCTGGGCTTATTGTATGTTGCATTTGGCCCAAGAGTCTCCTTCAGGTTTATGACACCTACACTGCCCGTAGATACCATGGGCTGCATACACCTGTGGGTTGCATGTACCTGTGGACTGCATACACCTGTGGACTGCATACACCTGTGGGCTTCATACACCTGTGAACTGCATACACCCGTGGGCTTCATACACCTGTGGACTGCATGTACCTGTGGGCTGCATACACCTGTGGGCTGCATACACCTGTGGACTGCATGTACCTGTGGGCTGCATACACCTGTGGGCTGCATACACCTGTGGGCTTCATACACCTGTGGACTGCATGCACCTGTGGGCTGCATGCACCTGTGGACTGCATGCACCTGTGGGCTACATGCACCTGTGGGCTGCATGCACCAGTTGGCTACATGCACCTGTGGCTGCATACACCAGTTGGCTGCATGCAGCTGTGGGCTGCATACACCTGTGAACTGCATACACCTGTGGGCTTCATATACCTGTGGGCTGCATGCACCTGTGGGCTGCATACACCTGTTGGCTTCATACACCTGTGGGCTGCATGCACCTGTGGACTGCATACACCTGTTGGCTTCATACACCTGTGGGCTGCATGCACCTGTGGGCTGCATACACCTGGGGGCTGCATACACCTGGGGGCTTCCTACACCTGGGGGCTACATACACCTGTAGACTGCATACACCTTTGGGCTGCATACACCTGTAGACTGCATACACCAGTGGACTGCATACATACACCTGTGGATTGCATATACCTGTGGATTGCATACACCTGTGAACTGCATACACCTGTGGGCTACATACACCTGTGGGCTCCATAAGCCTGTGGGCTACATGCTTGTTGGTAAAGGAATTTTATTAAGTAGCTTTTATTTATTTCCTGATTATAAAATCTTGTTTTAGATAAACCACTGTGTTACATTTGGAAAAAGCTCAAAAAGAGAAGCAAAATGTCCATAACTGCTCGACCAGGAACTGTCCTGGGAGATGAGGAACTGCCTTAAAGAGCCAGACCCATCCTCCCTGCTTCTCTGATCACAGCCTGCAGAGAAAAGTCCCGTTTCAGGAGTGATTACCCTACACCAAGCATGGCTCTAAGCGTGCCATATACATTATTTGACAAATATTTATGGAGTAACCACAGGCGTCACTGTTCTAGACCCTGGAGATGCAACTGTCAACTAACTGGAAATGCCTCATCTCCCTGCAGATTCATCATTGCCCTGGTTTGTGTTCACAGGGAACACCCCCCAACCCGGTTCTGTAACTGTGCCATGTGCCAGCTGAGGAAATGGGGCACAGGGAGGCAAAGTCACTTGTCAAGGGCACACAGTGAGCCAAGACCCAGGAGGGTCTGTCTCCAAGCCTATGCCCCCAACCCAGGGGTGTCACATTACCAGCCATGTGCCAGGTCCGGCCCGCCACCTACTTTTGTAAATAGAGTTTTATTTACAACCATGCCCCCGTGTTTAAGTGTGGTCCCTTGGCTGTTTTCATGCTACAGTGACGGAGTAGTGACAACAGAGACTGTGTGGCTGCAAAGCCTCAGTGATTCACTCGCTAACCGTCCGCAGAAAGTCTGTTGACTCCCCTGGCCCATTGTCCCCACCACTGCAGCACACTGCCACTTTTGAGGAAATGAAAATCATCCCATAATTTCAGGAGTCAAAAATACTCTTTGTTTCTATTTTTCTAAATTTCCTTCCTCTTTTTTTTTTTCCTCTCTGTATATGTTCCAATACAAAGAAAGCCTTTTCTCTGATAAATAAGGGTAAAAATAGCACTTGTGCAGAAGGGCTGAGTTAGGTGATGTCCTGCATGTGGAGTTTCCAAAAACTCCCCAGCTGTGGGAACCATGAAAATTATTTTCATTGAGAATAGAGCAGCACCCCCTCTCACGATGCTTGTACTGTCTCCCTGAAGCTCCAAGTCAGATGCTGGGTCCACACCTTGGCTTCCTAGGGACCCCTGGAGTGTCCCCACTAAGATGGGGCTGCAGGGCTGGTGGCCTCTGCCTCGAGCTGAGTGGCCCTGAGTGTGTGCTGAATTCCTCTCTCTGCCCAGCTCCCAACACGGAGACAGTGCCCTTGCTGACCTGGAAGAAGGCTCAGGAGACAGTGCCCTGGAATATCATTCTTCTCCTGGGAGGGGGCTTCGCCATGGCCAAAGGCTGTGAGGTAAGACCCCCCCCCCGCATCTCCCCTTCCCTATCAGGAACATCGGAGGGGAGTCAGGTGTGGACAGGTCCCAGTGCTGGCTGCAGCACCAGGATCAGAGCAGGCCAACTGCACAGGCCCTGGGGAAATAGCCAGCTTCCTCACTTGCCAAACTGAGATGATCATAGTTCATTCCTCACGGGTCCACACTCAGGGCCTGGTGAGAAAGAGAGGAATAAGGCATGACCTGGATCCTCAAGGCGCTCATGATGGGCAAAATATTAATACCAATAATATTAGGACTGGAGGACTCTGTGACTTAAAAGGGATAACAGTGTATTGTGATCACCCAATGCCAGACACTGTCCAGCATGCTTGTTGAGGCGGAAGGATGGCTTGAGACCAGGAGTCTAAGATCAGCCTCGGCAACATAGTGAGGCCTCGCTCTTTTTCCTGCCTCTCTTTTTTTGAGACAGCGTTTCGCTCTGTTGCCTGGGTTGGAGCGCAGTGGTGCCGACACAGCTCACTGCAGCCTCAGCCTGCCGGGCTTCATCATTTCTCCCTCCTCAGCCTCCCAGCTAGCTGGGACTACAGGCATGCCTCACCGTGCCCAGCTAATTTTCTTTTGTATTTTTTGTAAAGATGGGGTTAAAAAAAAATTAGCTAGGTATGGTGGTCCCAGGCTAGAGTGCAGTGGAGTTATGATCGTAATACTGCATTCCAGCCTGGGTGACAGAACAAGACCTTGTCTCTAAAAAAAAAAAAAGGAGGAAAGAAAAAAGAAAAACGGGCCGTGCACGGTGGCTCATGCCTGCAATCCCAGAATTTAGGGAGGTTGAGGAGGGCAGATCACGAGGTCAGGAATTCGAGACCATCCTGGCCAATATGGTGAAATCCTGTCTCTACTAAAAACACAAAAATTAGCCAGGCGTGGTGGCACATGCCTGAAGTTCCAGCTACTGAGGAGGCTGAGGCAGAAGAATCACTTGAACCCAGGAGGCGGAGGTTGCAGTGAGCAGAGATCGCGCCACTGTACTCCAGCCTGGGCGAGGGAGCGAGACTCCATCTCAAAAAACAAAGCTATGAGGTAGATGCTATCATTATGCCCATTCTATAGATAAGGGACGTGAGACACACAGAGAGAAAGTACCTTACATAATGTCATACAGCCGTGGAGTCAGATTAGAATCCAGGCAGTTTGGCTCTAGAGTATATGCTCGTAACCTAGACTAGATAGTAATATTAATTAGCTCACTGATGTTATTATTAATGTTATTCCAGAGGGCTTTGTGAGCTCAGAAGTCAGGTGAGGGTGGAGCAAATGAGGCCCATGGAGTGCAGAATTTCAGAAAGTGCTCACTCTCTGGGGTGCGCAAGCACAAGTCAGCCAGCCCAGCTCAGAGGCAGCGCAGCGCCAGCATCCGGCCTCTGGCACCGTGTATTATCTCACTGAATCGCCATGCTAGCCCTAAGAGCTAGGTAATGTTTTTATGCCTCTTTTACAGATAGGAAAACTGAGACATGAAAAATTAAGCAACTCTCTTACATTCTTACAATTGCACTCTGCTTGGGAGCTGGGGTTCAAACTCTCCCTGATTTCAGAGTCCAGGCTCCAAATTGTTCACTCTAGAATTTTGCACATGCCAACCATTGTTTGAAGTGCTTCGTGAGTGGAATATGACTCAGTCGATCTTTATAAGCACCACTGAATTTGATACTATAACTGTCTCCCTTTTAAAGATGAGGAATTGGAGGCAAAAGGAGGCTAAATAGCTCGCCTACATGTGCACATCCTAGAGATGGCAGAGCCAATATCTGAAGCCAAGCTCTGTCCCACCCCTGAACGCCTTGTAAACCAAGGCATTCAAAACCACAGCCAATTAAGAGTCAATCTAAAATTAAGGTTAAGGGAAGCTGAAATTACTTCTTTTATTGGCTTCTCTTCTTATTTCAATTTTAATTTTCAGTTTCAAATGAAGCTACAGTGTTGGACGCCTGTTAACCGTGTACACTGGGCAGAAGCTCAGGCTTGGAGATCTCAGCACCTGGGCAGTCTAGGCTCTACCACTCCTCGCTGGGACACTTTGGGCAGGTTTCTTAACCTCTCTGGGGTCCTGTTTTTCTCATCTCATAGATTTCTCATCTCATAGATTGAGACTCAAAGTTCTTATTCTACAGGGTTGTTGGAAAAAATTAAAGAATAACTGCCCGTTACGTATAGCCGATGAGACGTGCTAGAAACTGCATGCACACCAGCCCATAAATCCTCATGCCACAGTTTCTACAGGTTGGACTTTCAAGAAGCAGACTCTGGATGGAGATTCGCAAGCACAAGCTTCATTAGATTGTGCCATTGGGGTCACTGTGGACGGGAGAGGGTCGAGGGAGAAGTGCAGTTGGAGACAGATCCAACGCCATAGGAGCACTGGAGCTGAGATGGTCTTCAGAAGCAGTTCAAGTGATCAGAGATAGTCAGACCATTGTATCCCAGCATCCATCTGTCTGGGGACACAAGCTGCCCCAGGTGCAGATATGACCTCAAGTGAGGCAGCTTCTGGGGTCTGAGAGAGCCAACTGCACCCCCTGAGCTGGGACAGCAAGGTCTCCACTGATGGGGATCAGGGTGGCACATTCAGACTCTCTATACAGGGGCTCATTTTTAAACAAAATATGTTTTACTTTATTTATTTTAAAAAACACATAAATAACAATACAGACTTCAAAGGGAACAAAGGAATAGATGATCAAAAGTACTGGGATTTGTCTGCGTTTTAGGGATCCTGAGGCCCAGACAAGTTAAGTAACTGGTTCTGGGTAACACAGTTCATTAGCAGCAGGGCTAAGATTTGAACTCGTGTCTATGTGACTTATGCTGTTGCCTCCTGCTGGTGTCTGAGGGAAGGCTTCCTGAAGGAAGTGACATGTTAGCCAGGCCCTGAAGAGGTGTGTGGTACAATGGAACCAGACCATCTGGATTGGAATCACAAACTTCCCCCTTCTTAGGTGTGTGATATTTGTTAAGTTACTAAACCTCTCTGGGCCTCAGTTTCCTCATCTGTAAAATTAGAATCACAATGGCACCCACGTGGTAAAGTTGTCATGATTATTAAGTGAGTCAATATATGCAGAGAAATGAGAACATAGCCCAGCACAGTTGGTTGGATACTGGTCCTCATGTATGGTTAGATGCTGAGGAAAAGGAAAATCAAAATCAAAAATCATGTGGAGGTTCATGGCTTGAACAACTTGATGGAAATGGTGCCATTTACCTCAGTGATCTGAGCCCAGCCTGGCCTAGAGAAAGGAGGCTGAAGGAGATGACCCCGATCCAGAAATTTCCCTAAGCTCCAGCAGAGGCTGGGCTGCAGGATGCTGGGCATGCTGAGAGGCCAGCCTGGCTCTGAGCCCAGCCCTGGGCAGCTGGTCAGAGTTTCTCTTCAACAGGGGCTTTGTGTAGTAGCTGTTCCTTTCCCCAGCCTCTGCCATACCATCCCCTCCCCAGGCACCTGCAGCCTGGCCCAGGAGCGACCAGAATGCTTATGGCACATCCTGGTTCCTGGCCCCTGCCCCATATTCTCATCAGACCACAGCCTGGCAGCCTCCTGAGAATTGGAGGTCCCTGGATGTGATCCAGGGTGAGCCTGGGTATATAGGCTCCCTGTGCTGCTTCTGAAGGGCAGGAAGCCTGCTCCAGTGCTTACCCTGAGCCTGGGCAACTCGCTTAAGCCCACTTAGAGTCCTTCCTGCAGTTTTCTCCTGCTGCAAAACCATGTAGTCATGACTCTGCATAGTCAAGTCAAAGATTTCCCTTGGCCAACACAGAAGGCTGACATAGCCTGCTGCCTCCTCCACTCCCAGTGTTGGCACCTACCTCTCTCCCCTCCTAATACCCCTCCAGTACCCTCCTCCCCTTTCTCAGCCACATCAGACTCATAGGCACCCCCTGGCCTTTGCATCTTCCTTTTCTCTGTTGAATTTTCATCCTGAGAGCTTTGAGTCCTCACTCTTCAGGTCTCAGCCCCTCACAGATGCCCTCCCAAGCCTCTACATCTAGAATAGCCTCCCACCCCAGTCCCTCTTCCTCTCATGACCCTACCTACTCCTATATACCACATCTACCCCTCACATGACCTATGGGTGTGTTTATTGATTGTGTCTCTTACTAAAATGGAAGCTCCATGAGGGCAGGCAGAGACCATGTCTGTTTTATCCATCACTGTTCTGGGTACTTAGAAGACACTGGGCGCATGTTGGTGCTTAACACGCAGTTGTTGCTATGACCTACAAGATGGGCTGCTTTGAGAATTGCTAACATACTGTATGAAAAGTACCCAGAAGAGTGGTGATATACCCCAGGTGCTCAAACCAGGAGCTATTCTCATCTTCACTATTATTGTTACTGCCATTATTGCATTACCTCATGGATGAAAGGTTGCTGTTGCCACAACAAACTTACTTACAAATATACGAATTGCCATGATAGAAGCTTGGTATTGCATCAGAGTGGAGCAAACCCCCCATTCCTCATTTTCTGCCAGAAATCTGTCATCTTTATTATTGATATAGTTTGGCTGTGTCCCCACCCAAATCTCATCTTGAATTGTATAGTTCCCATAATCCCCTGGTGTCATCCGACCTGGTGGGAGGTAATTTAATCATGGGGGCAGTTACCCTCATGTTGTTGTGATAGTGAGGGAGTTCTTGAGAGATCTGACGATTTTTTTTTATAAGGAGCTTTTCCCCCTCTTGCTTGGCACTTCTTGCTGCCACCATACGAAGAAGGATGTGTTTGCTTTCACTTCTGCCGTAAGTTCCCTGAGGCCTCCCCAGCCATGCTGAATTGTGGGTCAATTAAGCCTCTTTCCTTTATAAATTACTCAGACTTGGATATGTCTTTATTAGCAGAGTGAGAATGGACTAATACAATTGTTATTACCCTCATTTCTTTGGACAGACAAGCCTAATGACATGACTAAGATCCAGATTCTGAATCTCACTAGGGCACGTCATGTTATTTATTTGGCAAAATCACTTAGTCTTTTTGTGCCTCAGTTTCTTCGGCCATAAAATGGAGCTAATTGTACAGACGGTTCCTGACTTCACAAGGGTTCGATGTGTGATTTTTCAGCTTTGAAATGGTGAGAGAGCGATATGTATTCAGTAGAAAAGGTACTTAGAATCTGAAATTTTGATCTTTTCCCAAACTGGTCATTGTGGTAGGATCCTCACTTGTACATGCTGAACAATTCTGAAGGTAAACAACAGATACTCTACAGTGTGTTGCATTGCCAGATGAGCTTGCCCAAATGTAGGCTAATGCCAGTGTTCTGCATTTAAGGTAGGCTGGGCTGAGTTATGATGGGGACGGGTAGGCTAGGTGTATTACATGCATTTTCTACTTCAATATTCCCAATTTGTGGTGGGTTTATTGAGACATAACTCCACTGTAAGTTGAGGAGCATCTGCAGTTCATATTCCATGAGGTGACTATGAGGATTAAATAAATTAATATTTACAAATTACTTGGAAGAATGCCTGGCACAGAGCAAACTCTATATTGTGTTTGTTAAATTAAATAATGATAAATCATATTCAGTGCTTACTATGTACAGAGACTGTTTTCGTGTGCACTTATTTTAATCCTTAGAGCAATTTCTTAAAGAAATCAAGGAACAGAGATGTTAATTAATTTGCCCAAGGTCATACAGCTTGTAAATGGTGCCATGGTTTGAATGTTTACACATGTGCATAAAGCCATGTCTTTTTACCTTCCTTTAATCAAATCCACTGGTCTCTCTACCTAGGAATTTTATACAAAGTTGTAGCCCATTGTGTTTTATGAAGTCTTTTAAAAGATTTTCAGGGGCGTTTTGGCCACAGGAGATTTTGATTTCAAATATTGAACTTATGCCGTAACAAACCTCCTTATAAGCTGCTCCTGTACTGTATATCAAAGAGACCAAGAAGAGAGGACCTGGTTGAAGTAAGAAAAGAAGAGGAAGAGGAAAACATCACTCTACCAGCTCAGCCTCCCCACCTCCCATCTTTGCAAGGCGCCCTGGTTACCTCTGGTCATCTTCAAGGCCACTAAGGAACATAGTTTGGCAACCACTGTCCGGGCCATTTCTGAGTTCCACCACTTGCGGCATCTTGTGACTTGATGCTGCTAGTTATGGTAGGCACTTACCAGGTGCCCAGCCACTTTCCTAGGCCCTTAATGGACTCGCCCCTTTTATCCCAACAATAATCCTCTGGGACAGGCACTATCGTTGTCCCTGGGGTACAGATGAGGATATTTTAGAACAGAGAGGCTAAGTGACTTGCCTAGGAAGTTACGGGACAGCTGAAAAGGATTAAGCTGGGAAGTAAACTCAGTCTGACTGCAGAGCCCCTTCTCTTCATCTTCCGGCCATGCCACCTCTGACCTTGGCTGTTACCGGTCCCTCGAGTCCCTGGGAACACTGCAGGGCTGTGTGTTTCCAAGGAAACAAAGTTTCCAATTCCTAAGAATATAGGAGAGAGGCTGGGGCATGGTGGCTCGTGCCTGTAATCCCAGCACTTTGGGAGGCCAAGGCAGGAGGATTGCTTGAATCCAGGGGTTCAAAACCAGCCTGGGCAACATAGTAAGGCCCTGTCTCTATAAAAAAAAAATCATTAAAAAAAATTTAGCCAGACATGGTGTTGTCTAACTGTAGTCTCAGCTACTCAGGACACTGAGATGGGAGGCTTGCTTGAGCCCAGAAGATAGAGGCTGCAGTGAGCCATGATCATGCCACTGCACTCCAGCCTGGGTAACAATCTGAGGCTCTGTCTCAAAAAAAAAATAATAAAATAAAATAAATAAAATGGGAAAGGGCAGGTGAAGTCTCTTTAGAGTCCCAAGTAGAACTCTACGCAACGGGGGTTTTCCTCTCTTAGGAAGCTGCCAGACCTCCCTCCAGTGTGGGAGCTGCGCCAAGGCCTGTGTGGCTGCGGGGACGCTGGCTGGAAGCCCAGTCACTCAGAGACCCAGCCTGGCTTCTCACTTGCGCAGGTCATTAATATTCCCTCTCTCCAGCCCCTCTCCGTTTAATTGTGCACAGAGCTGTCAGGTCAGACTCTTTGCCAGAGCTGTGGCCTATGGGAAAAACCAGAGGTCCCATTTTTCCCCAGCAGCACTCCTTGCAGCCAGGGGAGGGGCTGCAGCCTCCACCCTGCCACTTACCGTATTCCCCAGGCTAGCAGACAAACTGCAGATGTACCAGAAACACCTTCATTTCACAGGGAGTCTTCTAGGGAAAAGTATATTTAAGTATTTATTATTCTTACATTGAAGGTAGCTTTTATGTCAAATTGTAGGAGCAGATGTACTATTTGTGTAAAAATTGTATGCTGTATTGTATTCTTTTTTTTTTTTTTTGAGATGGAGTCTCATTCACTGTCACCCAGGCTGGAGTGCAGTAGCGCCATCTCAGCTCACTGCAACCTCCGCTTCCCTGGTTCAAGAGATTCTCCTGCCTCAGTCTCCCTCAGCCTCCCAAGTAGCTGGGATTACAGGCATGCACCACCACACCCAGCTAATTTTTGTTTTGTTTTGGTTTGGTTTTTTTGTAGAGACAGGGTTTCACCATATTGGCCAGGCTTATCTTGAACACCTGACCTCAAGTGACCTGCCCACCTTGGCTTCCAAAAGTGCTGGGATTACAGGTGTGAACCATAGTGCCCGGCCCTGTATGTGGTCTTCTAGAATTGATTATGAAATTTTTAAGTTCTGAGTAAGCAGGGACTTTTCTATTAAAAGTAAATATATATATGGAGTTTCTTTGGTACTGGGTTGATAAAAGGGCTATGGTAGCAATACAATGGATTCTGAATGTTAACGAACTAACCCAACTCTGCCCTAGATCAGCTCCAAAACCTACAGCTTTGTTGTGATCTTACTGCATGGTTCCACCAGGGGGTAGCATTCAGCATAATTTGACATCCAGCGTTGCCGCTTTGCGGTTATAATGGTGTGTCGGGCCAGTTATTTAAGGATGCATTTGATGGTGAGAGGTGTGGAAGAGTATACACGTTATATACTGGTAAATAGGGTAACTTCTGGAGAAGTCAGCGGAGAGAGCACCCAAATAATTCTGCAATACTCACAGGGGAGTGGAGTCTCCGGGAACTTACCTACCCGTCTCTGCCCTGCTGAACTGGAGTCAGCACTGGGCATAGCTCTTAATTAAGAGGCAAGGCGACAGACTGGTGTGTCTAGAGGAAGCCACTGATTCGCAGGGAGCTTTGCAGAATCACATCAGCTTATGGAGGTAGATGAGTATCTCGGGCACTACTTTTAGGGACCCTGGGCAAGTCACAAAAACTTTTTCAGGCTCAAGTTCCTCCTCAGTAAAACAGGGACCAATAATATTTGTCTTTCAGGATGGTTGGGAGAAGTCAAGGAGCTAATGTCTGTGTGCCTGGTCCCCTGTAAAGCCTCAATAATGGTATTCTTATGTCAATAAATAATTCACCATTAATATTTGTATTATTATCATTGTAATAATTGTCTTTATTACTATTCATATATATATATATACACACATACATATGTATGTGTGTATATATATTTTTTTGCTTTTGAGACAGAGTTTCTGTTGCCCAGGCTGGAGTGCAGTGGCATGATCTTGGCTCACTGCAACCTCTGCCTCCCAGGTTCAAGTGATTCTCATGCCTTAGCCTCCCGAGTAGCTGGGATTACAGGTGCACATGTAATTTTTATATTTTTAGTAGAGATGGGGTTTTTCCATGTTGGCTGGACTGGTCTCGAACTCCTGGCCTCAAGTGATCTGCCCACCTCAGCCTCCCAAAGTGCTAGGATTACAGGAGTATGAATATCTTTATTATTGATAATTACATTGATTGTGTTGCACTCGATGTATATCTGATCCATGTTTTATATATGACATATAGTAAATCTTGTATATATATTTCATGCATATTAATATATTATTAAATAATAATTATAAAAATAATGAATATTCTATATAAGTAACTATTACTATTTGGGTAATTAATACCCTTCATTGGAGGGATGAGCATTTACTACTGAGGGTCTGATTTGATTTTTCTCTCACACTTAAATTGGAGCTTAGGGGTGCTAGAACTAAATGGACTATTGGGGACCCAGGGGTTTGGGTCCCTGGCCTGTATGGGATAGAGTGGAGAGAAGTTCAAGAAGCAGAGAGGCTGCTGGCTCAGATGTGCGACCTTGGCTCGAATGTGTGACATTGAACACATCCCTTGCCCTCTCTGCACCTCAGTCTCCCCTTCTGGGAAGGGGTACGGTTGTCACTGTTATGATCTATCCTAATCTCCTCTGCGGATGGGCTGGGTATGAAGGGATGCCTTTCCCTCCGCAGGAATCAGGGCTGTCTGTGTGGATTGGCGGGCAGCTGCACCCCCTGGAGACCGTGCCCCCCGCACTGGCTGTGCTGCTTATCACCGTGGTCATCGCCTTCTTCACTGAGTTTGCCAGCAACACAGCCACCATCATCATCTTCCTGCCTGTCCTGGCAGAGCTGGTGAGGGTCCCTCTGGGGAAGAGGGGAGCATCCCTCCCCCAACACCCATTCAGAAATCTTCCCCCTGCCAAGGGAGCTTCACTGGGGGCTACAGTTGCCATTGCTCTCCCCAAAAGCCATAAAGATGTCAGGACCACAGTACAACTTTTAAAAATACTGGATGTTTTCCTTCAAAAAATGCATACATAGAGTAAATATTTTCAAAGTGTTCCCAATTCTCTCTTTGGGGAAAATTTACCCAAGATGACATGGAGGGTTTTCTAGAACAGGTAAATTCCCAAATTTGGATTAAGAAGAAGTAGAAAATCTGAGTAAACAAATGGCCACAGGAGAAATCCTAATGGTAAGCAAGGCAGTAGCCACCCTCTAAAGCAGGGTTTCAGCACTGTTGGTATTTGGGGCTGTAGCATGCTCTGTGTGGGGCTGGCCCGCCTACTACAGGGTGTGTTGTGGCATCCCTGGGCTCTCCTCACTAGAGACTGGTGGCACTTCCCTAAATCATGACAATCCAAAAGTCCCTAAGCATTGCCAAATATCCCCTGTTAGGGGAACAAATCCTTCCCCCCAACCCAGTTGATACCTACTGGGCTAAAAATCGCCAGCCCCAGGCCGGGCTCCGTGGCTCATGCCTGTGATCCCAGCACTTTTGGAGACTGAAGCAGGCAGATTGCTTGAGCTCAGGAGTTCCAGACTAGCCTGGGCAACATGGTGAGACCACATGTCTGCAAAAAATACAAAAATTAGTCGGGCTTGGTGGCAGGTGCCTGGACAACAGAGCCAGATCCTGTTTCAACACAAAAACAGAAACAAAACCATCAGCCCCAGGTTATTTGCTAGGTAAGAGCTCGAAAACTAGTGAGGAACAGATAGTTCCCAACTCCCCCGAGCTGTTCACCAGCATAGAAAAATAGACATGGCCCCAAAACCGGATAAGGAGAGCAAGGGAGGAGAAAGCTGTAATCCAGGCTCACCTGTAAAAAGAGATGCAAATAGCAAAATGAACCCACAGTTGTGTAAAAAGAACAATATATACATGATCAGGCAGCTTTTATACTAGGAGTTTTAAAAAGGAAACTATCAATATAGTTTTGTATTTAAACAGATTAAAGACCCGACCGTATAATTACCTTAATATTACCCACGCTGATAAAATTACATCAATGTTGCAAGTAAATGCTTTGTACGCAAACGGTTATGCCCCAGCACGCTTACCTGTAAAACCTCATCTTGGGTTTTGTTTGCTTATTTTATGCATCAGTTTATCTGTTTTTGCACACAGATGTACACTGTGTTATTTTTCAATGACTGGAGAATATGCCATTATAAATGGACAGCTGTTGGTTTATTTAAACAATCTCCCTGCCCAGTGGAAATATAGGTATTTCTGAACTTTGCTGTCATTCAACAATGCTACGTCACCGAGCCTTGTCTATGCATCACTAATTACATCTAGGGAAGTTCCTATAACTGACATTCCTGGGTCAAAGAGCATGTGCATTTAAAATATTGTTGGATATGAGGAAATTGCCCTCCAAAGTGGCTGGCCATTTTACTGCAGTGGGAGTATGAGGTGGGAGTCCTCAGGGAGACCTGGTGACTGAGAGAGATGGGAGTGCCATGGGTGGTCTGGGGGAGAAGAGGGAGCGTAGAACCCAGCCAGTCTGTAAGGGGCAGCTTTCACTGGAAAAGACACTTGCAAATGACACATTCATTCAACTGTGCTTATCATCAAAATCCAAAAACATTTTACACCTAAGGGGGTGATTTTTGAGAAAATGAATATGCTTTGGGTTGCAAAGATTCCCCAGAAGGGCCAAAAACATCCTATGTAAGTAAAATGCCAGAGAAGTGATCTCTTCCCTTGCTCTCCTTATCGGGCTTTGGGGCCAGGGTGGCAAACTGGTGGCCCACTAACAGAGGCCAGCCCACAGGTGAGTCTGATACACACGGTCTTAGAAATTTGGGAGGGCTGCCAACAGATGCTCTCGTGAGCTCTCTTTCTCACTGAAACCCAGGAATGCATGCCCCCAACAAGAGGTATCCAGAGGCCAACTCTGCACTGAGATTGTTTGGCTGAGGGAAGGAGCAGATGAAGTGTTTTAAAGCCCTGGTTCTCAGTGTACAGTCCTTAGACCAGTAGCACCCCAGCATCAGGGGAGCATGTCAGAAATGCAGGTTCTCGGGTCCCACCCAGACCTGCTGAATCAGCAGTTCTGGGTGAGGTAGAGCCAGCTGTGTGGACTTTAACCAGCCCTCCAAGTGCTTTTCTGTACTCTCACCTGGAGAAGGAGTGTTCTAGGACCATCACCCCCGCCCATCTTTGATCAAACCACAGTGTGGTCCTTGAATGTCACTAACCCTGGGAATGTTCTCTCCACCTCTCCTGATCTGGTTCTCTTCTTACCTGCTTCTGTCTGTTTCTGCCTGTGCATGCATCTTTCTGACTGCGTTTCTCTCTCTGTCTAATTCTCTCTTCTCACTTGTCCCTGCTGTTCTCCGCCACGCCGCCAATCTCTACGGGTGTCTTTGTCTCTCTGTCTCTACGTCTTTGTGTCCCTCTTTCCAACGGCCCCTCTCTCCCTCTCTTTCTTTCTCCCCGTGGTCGCTCTGTGTTGGTCTCTCTCCTGGTCTCCCCCACCTCTCCTGGGCCCAGGCCATCCGCCTGAGAGTGCACCCCCTGTATCTGATGATTCCGGGCACAGTCGGCTGCTCCTTTGCCTTCATGCTCCCAGTCTCGACGCCCCCCAACTCCATCGCCTTCGCCTCTGGACACTTGCTGGTCAAAGACATGGTGAGTCTGGGCATTTCCCAGCAGAGGCTCCGGGAGGTGGGTGGGCAGCAGGTGGCAGGCAAGGCCTCTTCGCAGGACTCTGACACCCCAACCCCACTCCCCAGTCTCTCAATAGGTCTTTCTGTGGGGGACCAGGAACACACATTTTAGCAGAGACTCTGGGATGATTCTCGCACTTAGACAATTTCAGGAAACCCTACCTTAGGGACTACTTTCCAAAATTTGCTGCAGGGACAAGGGAGTTCCCCGTCCCTCTGGACCCTACTTCATACCCAGAATCTTTAGAAGAGAGAAGCAGCAAATACACCCTGGGACTCAGGGATGCGCCTCAGTGTCTAGCCTGCTGGGAAGGAGAAAGAAGCTGAGGACTGTAGCAGTGGGAGGGCCCCAATAGCTTTCAGCAGAGTGCAGCCATTGGCAATGAGTTCCCTCTCCCAGTAGCACCCTGCTGAGCCACCTCCTCCCTCCCAGCTCCTGACTCCCAGTCTCTTCCCTCTCCCTGGGCTTTGCAAATAACCGGGCTTTGCTTTCTGGGTTAAATGGCATAACCCTATGACAACCACACAGTGCCTGGAACCTAGAGGCCATCAATGAATGGGGACATTTGCAGCTCTTTGAGTGACAGTCTAAGGTAGTGTAAAGATTGAAGGGTCCCAGGCATTGACCGACCTGGGTCTGTGTCCTGGCTCCAGCACTTCCTGGCTGTGCGATCTCGGGTGAGTGACTTCCTGTCTCTGAGTCTGAATGTTCCCATCTGTGTGGTGGGTCAGGTGCTGACCCCTTCCTCTGTCTGGGCTCTATTTCAGGTGCGGACAGGTCTCTTGATGAACCTGATGGGCGTCCTGCTGCTCAGTTTGGCCATGAATACCTGGGCACAGACCATCTTCCAACTGGGCACCTTCCCGGACTGGGCTGATATGCACTCGGTCAATGTCACAGCATTGCCACCCATCTTGGCCAATGACACATTTCGGACCCTCTGAGTCCCCCTGGGGAACTCCCTTGAGGCTGAACCCTCTCAAAGGGCTGTCGCCATCACCTGCTGCCAGGACTCTACAAAACAATCAAATAATTATTTCCCGTAATCCAATATGCAGCAAGCAAGGGTGACCTCCAGTGGTCCACTCGGGTCCACGAGCCATTATCCAGAACATTTTCTCTCTCTCTCTCTCATGCAGTTCAAGGCCCAGATATCTCTCAGATCTGCTGGCTGAGAAACAAGCTCCTTTATCAGTGAGCTGTTTTATCGTTAGGATGCAAGAGAGCCCAGTTTCATCAACAGTGACCAAATCTGGCATGGAGTCTGTCTCATACAGTTGGGATAGGAGGCCATTCATTCCCATGGGCACAGCTAACATTATCCCCCAGTGACTAGTTTCTGTTGCACTGGAAAGACCACCTTGTCTTTAAAGATCACTTTCCTGGGCTGTTCACAACTAGTGTGTGTTTTTGCTTAGTTGGTGCCCATTCTGCACCCGTTGTTTTACCCCTGCTGATACCCAGCAGTCAGAGATTCTTTTTTAATCCTTGGAGACAGGGAAAGGGACAGATGGCTTTCTGAGGACATGAGACTGTGCAAAGCCTCTTTGCTGTTTGTCTGGGCTCCTGAGCACACCAGAGAAAGCTCTAGAAACCCCGATGACATCTCTACCCAAGAGATTTAGGATTCTCCTGTTTCATCTGGGCCAATTTGGCCATAATTCTGGGGTCAGGCCAGGCCAGGGTCCTACCCTCCCATGGGGAGAACTGTGACCCCTCCAGCCAAGACCTTCCTGTACATGACCCCCCAGGGGCCTCTGTGGCTGCAGGGTGGTCAGCTGCTTCTCGTCCCACCAAGTGACCTTGACCTCCCCATGTCCCACCTTAAGTAGTAAGCATGTTTAATTATCAAAAGCCACATTTGTCAGGGGTAAGACAAAAGTCAAAAGATAAATTGGGGCCTTGTAAAAGGCCAGGGTAAAATGTCTCGGGCAAGCAAAAGATAAGACATCCCCATGAGCCCGAGGCTGGAAGTGCTGTCTGCACTTAAGTGTTTATTCCCTCTTTGTTCCAAGCAGAAGCATTCTGGCATCCCAGTGAAGAGCGCAGGCCCTCAGGAAGTGTCTGCTGAATGGAATGGCCCAGTGTTAGCCCAGTATCAGAAAAGGCACCAGACCAGGGGCCCTGAACCGTCACACTTCCCCTTCCTAAGCCTCTGAGGGTGGAGATTCCCCTAGGAGCACTTGGCCAGCTGGGAAGGCAGCACCCAGGTTCGCTCTTGATACAGCACAAGTGAGTCATGGGCATTTCCCCGAGAGCAGTGGGAGAGGCCCTCTGAGTTGGAGGTTCAGCTCCACCTCCTTTCTAAGCGAGCACTCAATGTCGAATCACAGTTACAACCCGCTGGGGCTGTGGGGAGGTGGGCTTGTATGGGACTGGAGGCAAAAGGTTCATTGAGAAAGAAGCCCACGGGATTTGTAACCAGATGAATCATGATTTCAAAGACTTCTGATCAAAAATACTATGAAATAAAGAATGTTAATCAACAGTGGACCTGGAGATGATTTGCCTTTCTGAACATAAGACAGCATCAAAGCCCCAAATCCCTGGGCTGGGAATTCCACAGAATTGACCTCTCCGACTTCATTTTCTCCTGCTCTCCCCTCCCCTCTCCAGGCACATACTCAAACTCTCCTGCCTCAGGGCCTTTGCACGTGCTGTTTGCTCTGCCTAGAACACTGCTCCCAAATATATGCCTGGTTCCCCCACTCACTTTATTCAGGTCCCTGCTCAGGTGTCACCTCCTCCGAGAGGCTTCCCTGACTTCCTGTCTAAAATATCACCCTCATTACTCTCCACCCCCTTACTCTGCTATATTTTTTTCTTAATACTTAGGACACTATATAACTTATTTTCTTATGATCTTCCTCTCCCTCTAGAATATACATTTATGAAAATACAAATGGTATTTTTTTTTACTGCTGTAACTCCAGTTCCTAGAACAATTTCTGGCACATAGCAAGTGTTCAGTAAATATTTGCTGCTTGAAACTGCACCAGAATTAATGAGAAAGCCATCTCTCCCCTCTGGGGTCTGTTTTGTTTGTTACTTTGTTCACTCATTCTTCCATTTATTCATCCAATAAACATTTATTGGGAACCTGTCATGTTCTGGTTCATTGCCCCGCCCACGTGGAACTTACACGCTGGCAGGGGAGACAGGCAATAGGAAGATAAACAAATAAATAAAATGACTCTGGGTCATGATGCCGGCTAAGAAAATGAAACTGACCAAGATGATAAACTGACTCAGAGGCTACTTTAGCCAGCGTGATTGGGGAGGACTTCTCTGAGGAGGTGGCATTGGATTGAGACCTGAAGGAGTCAGCCAGATGCTCATGGAAATGTGGGAGGAAGGGAGAAGGTGGGGGAGATGGGGAGTCTCTGGGGAGAACATTCCAGGCAGGGGAGCAGATAGCTTCACTTAGCTGGATGCTCTGAGCTGGAACTTTGTGGAGTTTGGAAATCTAGATTCTGCCTCTTCTGATTGGTTACCAGCTCTCTCTGCAGCTTTCCAGAGAAGGCATCTTAAGTTGCTCTGACTGAATGTTACTCAGTCCTTGAAGCCTGAAGAGCTTGGCCATTCTTAGTGTAAAAGAAGATCTGTGAGCAGAAGGCAGCAGCACCATTGCGGTGTGCTCATGGCGGCACGGGAGAAAGGAAATGGCAGGGCTGGTGCAGACTTATTGGAATACACCAGGGGCTCATGTCCAGAAGATAGGAGGAGCGCTCCAACTCAGAAACGACCAGGCAAACAAAACTCTGTTTTTGTTATCTGTGGCTCCGTAACAGACCATCCCCACACTTGGAACTTTGAAACACAGCGATTTCTTGGCTCACGTTTCTGCATTTGGACAGAGCTCTGCAGAATTGCCATTGTCTTTGCCTCATGAGTTGGGAGTTTTGCTAGGGCCGGAACGTCTGCAATGGCTGCTGACAGGATCTCTCTTCACGTGGCTTCTCCAGGAGTCTCAGGATCTCTCTTCAC